GTGGTGACAACGAATTTGGAGATTTAAGAGCCCTGGGTGGAAATTATTTTATTCCACCACTGAAATTACTTTCGGGAATGAAACAATTGGTAAGAGCGACGGCAAGTCCAGATTGAAAATCGAAGGAATCGCGATTGCTGGGCGACTCAAATATGGCTCGCTGGGAGAGTGAAACGCAACGGTGTCATAACACAGCTCAATTTGCAAGGTGGGCAGCTATTCTGCTCAGCAAAGCGAGAGCCACTCAAGTTGAAGGCAATCTCCACGCAAATACGCGGTTCTGCAGCGCGGTGTGGAACCCCGCGGCGACGTAAATCGTCTGCTGATTTATTATACCTACCTGTGCGCTATGTTATATAATGCGGCTATAATTTTAGGGTATTAACTCGCCGCGACGGAGCCTTCGATCTCGAACCGTTGACCGGCGCTAGATGAACTGTCCGTGTCTATTTCTCGGCACGCTTACGAGAGTGCTGCCGTGCTAGGGAAAAACGCCGTATGAACCTTTAGGCGTTGTCAAATTTCCTTTAATAATACACGAATTTCTTGGCAAACATATGACTATTTTTCCTTCAATTTTTCAGATAATTTTGTTTGCAATTTCATCTGCAGTTGCTAAAAATTCCAAGGAAAAATATTCATAACTTACCTAAAAAATAAAAATTTTATCGAAGGAAATCTGGCAATTCTCGAATGTACATACGGCGTTCTTCCTCAGCAGGGCAGAGTGAACGTGGAATAAGTCGAAAGTTTCCGATTTTCAGTTTTTTTGCACTCTCATTTTCTACGTGCCTACTCGTGGGTTTCTAAAAAGAATAGGATCATTGTTTCAAGTTTCCTTTTGCGGTAGGAGTTACCTACATTTCACACTGAAGATGAATTCACACTTTAAGACTGATAAATTGCGGTTCTGTTTTCTCTTAATTAAGACACATGAAAGATCCAGCCAAAGTTTTGACTGGTTCAAAGAGTTTAAATCGATCAAAAACCGAGAGGAGCGAGCGTTTAAAAATGTCTCATGATTTTTTGAAGAGGAGACATATTTGAATGGGCGGAGGCATTGGGATTATGGTACTTCCCTGTGGGGATGCGCCGCAGACTCTCCTCCGTGCTGT